TAAAGAGTTACCCGAGCGTCAACAAGAACAATTCCTCTTCAAAGGTAACAAGTGGTGCTGAACAAATCCTGAAATTCTATGGTCGCAATATAGGAATGGATCGGCAGCCGAACCAAGAAATTTTCATTTACCGGAGGCAGCAAAGCTAAAACGCGACGGCCCAATATATATACAAACATAAAAGAGTTAGAGTACAATCCGAACAGTAAAGCAGATGGAAGCGAGGGCAGGGAGGGCAAAGAAGAACCTGCATAGGGAGCGCGTCCATGTCAGCCCGAAGCGCGACGAAGGGCGGGCCGCCTGTGCCGACGGTGGCGACGACGCCGGTGACAGCGAAGGGGTGCCTGTAGGGGATCCCCATGGCATCGAGCTCGCGCCGCACGAGCTCACTGGTGGCAAACTCCTCGTAGCCGAGCTCAGGGTTCTCGTGGATCCGCCGGCGCACCCCCACCATCCAGTCCATGAACTCCGCCTCCTTGGCCCGTCGCAGAAGCCCCGCCGGGTCGTCTAGGGCCGCCGCCCAGGTCGCGGCGGCGGCGATGAGGACGAGGGCGACGCGGAACAGCCCAGCATAGGCGGCCATGGCCAACAATAGTAAATGAATTCCGTCGTGACGTTCTCGCTTTCGGGTTGGACACTTGTACTATACTACAGTATCAATCAGGCGAAACGCGCACGAGGGGAGTGGGCTAGGCTCAAGTGAACCTTGAGCTTCGGTTTGGGAGGATTCCGCTTTTTACTTCCTCCTTGTTTCTCTGCCCTCTTTGAGTAGTCTTTTGTTTCGAGACGCTTTGGCTCGGTTTGGCACGTTGATTTGGCAGCAGTGGAGTGGGTTGGTTGCAGAGGTGGGTGGGCATCTAGCTGGTTACCACAAAAACGTGCCTGTGGAAAAGCCATGTTATAGTTTGGGGAAATCATTTGGGACAGGTCGATTTGGTGCTCGGACTCACCTGCACCCAAAATCTGAGCCAGTGGCTGGTGCTTTGGGATGGCAAAAAATGTGTCGGATACGGCAAAGGTGGACTGTGGGAAAACAAGGATACATGCTATATACTGTATGCCACAGTGCGCAATGGTGGGCTAGTTGTGTAGCTGGTGGCGTTGATCCGTGAGTGCGGGTGTCTGAGCCGTGGCTCAAAACTTGTGCGATGGTAACGGCGTGCGTAGGGGACGCGACTTCTTGCGGCGGAGCGGCGATGGATGCCGATGGGGTGACCGGTGAGTTTTCTGTTCCACAGTGCTCGCCCATGGATTTTCGTGCTTCGATGGATATACTGATTCCCCGCCGCCGCCGCTTACTCTGCTGTGGTTTTCAAGGTTCCCACGCTGGGAGGAGTTCGCGAACAGCTTGGAGCAGTCGGATCCGGTCCCTCTGATGCTGCTGCCGCGGAGTGTGGAAGCGCCGGCTGCGCGCAGCAATTAGGGGGCTGCAGCCAGGTCTGGATCCGTTGGTGGCCGGTGAGTTTCCATTTGAGGTTTTACATTCAACCTCTTTTGTTCTGACTTAAGCCATCGGCTGCAGTTTACTGAAAAAATGTTGACCCTGTTGGCAATGTGAAATTATGGTGGAGATGGTGATACGAGGGGTGCCGGACTGCTGATGCACTAGCAGGAGCAGCCCCTGGAGAAGGCGCTGGGCCTAATCCGGATCTGCTACTCTTCCAGCCTTTCCCTAGCAGTTATGCTGGCTTCTCTCCAGTTAATCGGTTCCATCTCTCCAGATTACAATTGATTCAGATCTATTGCTTGTTGAATTTTCTAGCAAGTCAATTGGTTTGTTGGCTTATCCATGCCTATGATTATTGGGCGAGTTTATGTGAAAAAAATAGTATTGAGGCACCAGCAACAAATCACTAGTTCATTCCTTGCAAATTAAATTACCCTAGTGAATTACATTCCCCATTTGTTTGATGTTGATGTCTCCCACATGCTTTAGCCGAAACATTGATCACCGAGGAAATGATGATGCCCTCTTCTATTCGATTTCTCAAGTAATGTCTCATGAAGGTAGTACCAATCAATTTATTTGATTAAGTTGAGCAATTGTGTTTTGCTTCTTGATTACAATTCATGCCGCAGACACATAGGGTTATTTTTCGATGCCTGCTAAGAATATGAGCTTGGTATTTGTAAGCGGGGTCACTTGATTTATTTATGGTGAAGTGGTATGCTCAAGAACCTTTTGACTTGTAGACCAAAACTGGTATAGATGATAAATGAAAGATCGAATCTAAAATGTCAGCACTTTGTCATTTCTTACTTGGAACTCGAGCTGCTATGACAGTGTACATGGAGATGACCGTGGGATGCTCCGCATCATCCCCTCCCCCTTGGAAGAGATCCGACCTCGGATCATAAACCGTATCGCCATGTACACGGTAGGAATTAATGCCTTATCGCTCGGTGAGGTGCTCTAAGATGTTGGTGTCGTGCAATGTGTATGCCTTCCCATGAAGATGATAGCTCATGATGGTACCACCTTGCAAGACCTTCAAAACGAAAGAACATGACAAACACTTGGAACAACCCATGAGGTTAGCGTGAACGCAAAGCCTATCATTTGGGAAGGGAAAATGCCCAACAAGTGTATGCATCATGCTCATCATAAGAAGGGACAAGGTGTGGTGTGGTATGAAAGCATATGATGCAACTACAACCAAAAAGATTAAGCTCAACCAAACAAGCAAGCATCACAAGTAATATGCCCAAGTCTCCAAGATCGATAAGCATCGCATGGGTGCACTCACTACAAGTTGATATCAATGGTGCAACTAACGGAGACAAGAGACAATGATTAAGACAAATCACATGAGAGGCATGAACATATATGCCATCAACCCGAGAAAGTGAGCAAGAATGGAACATGGGTGATGCAACCAAGCGAGTAGCCATATGCATCAAGTTATGCAAGCTAGTAGTGCAAAGATACAACATACTAGAGGTAATCATGGCAATCATGTCATGGGTGCGAATAGTGGGCATATAAAATGTGCATGACATAGCACAAGCATGAAAGCAAGATATGATGAAGGTATCATCATTGTATTGGTGAGATGCCATATGTAAATAGCAAAGGGACATCATGACTCTCCCAACACAACAAGCATGAATAGCATGAGGCACATGATAAACATGGCAATAGCAACAAGGATCTCCCCCAAGCATGCAAACACACATGGAAGTAGTATAATGGTGAATCACATGTAAGTGCAAGAAAGGGCCACAATTGCATGGTAAAGGCATGGAAAAAGGCATGGCATGCAAAGTGAACACGAGAAAATGGGCATAACGTAACAAGTGATATATAACCCAAAGCCGTGTGAGAGCCAAGTAGAAGAGATGCGCGTAGTCGTTGCGCAAAGAGAATGGGAGGAAGGACAATCCACGGGATCCCAAATCGTCGTTGCTCTCAAGAGCTGGTTTCGTCAACTCTTGGGATTGAGAGGTTGACAAGTATACATGAGTACCTACACACAACAAAAACAAAGGGAAAATTGTGTGTGCATGGTAGATGTACACATCATCCATCATGATGCGCACGTGCTTGTGTTGGTTAGCGCAAAATATCCAATGCTCAAATAAATGAGATGCATGATAGAGAAACATGTCATCTATCATGATGGGTTTGTTGTTATGTATAGCATAATGGAGACTCAAGTTGTGTAATGAATCATGGGAAATATCTAGAGCATTGTTATGCGTGGAATGCATATGGTGCAAGCAATTATGAGAATCATTTAAAGTATGGAATGCATCAAAATCTCCTAATATGTATGAGGAAACTATGGGGGTCTCCTCGTGAGCATTAATGGAAACATCTCTTGGAGAATATTGACAACATCCAAAACAAAGCATATTTGGAACAATGTGATCATGGCATGGTATAGTATATGAATTGTGTAAATCATGTAAAGGAAGCATGGCAATATCATCACATGAAAAACAAAAGCCAATGACCATCATCTCGTCATCTATGCCATAAGTGCAAATGGGATTTATTTTAATGGGGCAAGCATAGTTACTATGTTGAGATTGAAATGATGCAATATGGCATATCTCACGCATAGCATATGACAAGTTCAACGGATTGTCAAACATGATGTGACCAAAATAATTTTCACATGATATCCTATGGAGCATACCATCACAACTAGGCAACTCAACATGCTCATCATCATATTCATCATAAATAGGTAAGTCATGACATGATGAAGTCGCACTAGCATGAAGTATGGTAATAGGTGTGTCAATATCATGCAAGCAATAATTGTGAGGAGAGTCCACTAGTGGGACAAGTGAAGCACCATCACCTATGTTACCTTTGAAGCTCCACTCATGTGGTGTAGGTCAAGTGTCGAAGACCGAGTCGTGGTCATCTTCATCATGATGGAACCATGTGGGGGTGCATCATCATATTCACCATGGCCATCATCTTGTCCATAGGAAGGACGAAGTCATCGAGGATCGATGCATCATCATAAATGGGACCTAGCACCAAATGAGAAGACACAATAGAGGTAGAGGTCAAGTCGTTAGAGTTGAAAGTGGCCTCACATGACCTATCAACTATCTCACTCTCTCTATGTGGTGGTTCACTCACTCCCTCAAGGTAGGTGCACTCAAACTCACATATGGTGGAGTCACTCATATCACTCAAGTGGTGGGGGTTGTGGCTCTCCTCACATGGGAATTGTGGCAACTCGTCATTTATGGGCTAGTGGTGAAGTCACTCTCACTCTCAATATGGTGGCACAAGTCACTCAAGTCATCATATGTCGCCGTGGTCGAAGGGAAAATCCCATGCTCAACCATCGCCCTTGAGGGGCTTCCGAAGATGGAAGTGTCACCCTCGCTTGTAGGTGATCGCCTTGGACTTGATGATGTCAAAGTAGGCGTACTTGTCGGAGGTAGGCGAAGATGTCGTACGTCGAAAGGCGAAGATGCCTTGATAACACTTGGTGAAAATGCCACAGTTGTTGAATAGGCCATAGCTTTGTTGTCGATGTTGTGGTTCTGTAAGGCCCATGCGCACGAGGTCATTGGAGGCCGTGTGCACGGGGTCCCGTGTGCATGGGGGTCCAAGGCCCGTGTGCACGGGGGTGGCAGATAATCCATCTCTCGTGCCGAAGGTCGCTCTCCATGGTCTTGTCCGTGGTCTTGGCGGTCGCCTCGAAGATGATGACGGTGCCGCGTGGTACTTGCATCGTGTGGCCATAACGAAGACTTGCTACTTGAGCGTCTCCGTCGTGAAGATGACGAAGAGGACTGTCGGTGTCAAAACCAGCGGATCTCGGGTAGGGGGTCCCGAACTGTGCGTCTAGGCCGGATGGTAACAGGAGGCAAGGGACATGAAGTTTTACCCAAGTTCCGGCCCTCTCGATGGAGGTAAAACCCTACGTCCTGCTTGATTAATATTGATGATATGGGTAGTACAAGAGTAGATCTACCGCGAGATCAGAGAGGCTAAACCCTAGAAGCTAGCCTATGGTATGATTGTTGATGTGTATGTTGTCCTACGGACTAAAACCCTTCGGTTTATATAGACACCGGATAGGGTTAGGGTTACATAGAGTCGGTTACAAT